TCAGGATGTAGTATATAGTGGGAAAAGTGTCCTGAATGTGTTTAAAGAGAACGTGTTTGCACTTGCTTGTGACAGTACAATCCAACGAAAAAAAACTGTTGCCTCAGGAACGATCACATTTTCTTACTGTGAGACATGACAGGTGAGAGTATATTCTCATTGCAAGATTAATATGCACTGGCACTGCTTGTGTTGTGCAGAACACTCCACCTCTCTGCTCAGTTGGAAAAATTCACTGCATCCCTGCCAACCAAACAGAGGAGATTTTACTGCTGGTATTATCAGTCACGCAACAGGCCATGAATAGAACTAAAAACAATGGAATTTTTCCCAATAGCACTTTGAATCATGTTTTGCATAATACCTTCTGAAAAAATATATTCTCAATGGCCGGTACATTGAGAGAACAGTGGCCCTGTGTTCCTCTGAACGCTTCTGCAGTGTCAGGAACTAGTCAGGCCACATCCCACTCTATCTCATGACTTGCGACATTTTTTTATGGTGGAGACTTTCTATCTAAAACAACCGACCGGGCAACACAGGACACAAGGTGATCCCTCCCAGTTTTATGACGCTGCAGTATCACAGATCGAATGTTTACGCTCCAGTATGTGCAGTTAGGCGTGAGGGAGGAGACTTGAGCCGAGCAGGAGGAGGGAGGGCCGCGAAGACACACCTGTCAAGGAGGGAAGAAATCTGACAGCAGAGCACCAGTTACCTACTGAGCTGTTGCAGAGGAGGGCTGCACAGTATGACAACTAGCTAAGAGAATTCCACGGTAGCCGCGGTGTCAGAGCCCGTCGATTGGAGAGATCAAAATGGGAGGCAATATAAGTCAGAAGAAGGGCAGCAGGCGAACCAGCTCGAGGAGTTACTCCAACAGCGTCACGTGAGTCGAATCACTCACCGGCTTGATGGGGATTTTGTGGCACATTCTAAAAACTTAATGCCTTAAAAACTTCTGTTGCTTTCGTCTGAGTTAGTGATGAAGGTTTTCACCTCTCCCATGCTACTTATTTATAAAGTTGTATGCAGTTACAATAAGGCAGCACCAGCTAGAATACTGAATTATGATACTTCTTCATCTGCCATGCTGTATAAACTACAGTACTGAACTTGTGGCTAGAGTTCCATTCTCTTTGTATTTGGACTGAGACTGGCCTCTGTTCAAGCGTACACATGCAAATATTCACACCCTCAAAATGAATGCATAGATAAGGCTGCACACAGATGGACAGTTAAATATGAGCTCACTGAAGTTCCAAGTACGTGGTTGTCCGTGTGCTTTCAAGCAAGAACGCCAAAGACAATTAAAAAGGAAGTGATCCAATAAAATGTAATAGAACGCAAATCAAACAATACCAACAAGTTGAGCGTGTTCAAAATTTAATATGCCACATTTGCACAGTGCGCCAAGCAGTTGCGACTGGTTTAACGTGATCAGTTACGGCACTGTCTGAACAGATCTGCAGTTATCTCCTCACAGCGTGATCGCATTGTGAGAAATACAGCTTCACTGTGTCAATATTTGCTTGAGGTGATTCTCGTCCTCGTTTTACTGGGAGGCCCGGTGGCAGCTCTGCAGTTTGAACTGCTGACACACTGGACCGTGAAACACTGCAGTTCTATCTGTCAGCTGCTACTCTTGTGAGTTTTTCTGAAGAAACATTCCAAACATAGAAAGGGGAAAAGACATATTCCAGAACCACTGCAAGTGACTTTTACAAGTTCTGTTCGCTTAACAACAGGTTGATAGTGTTTTACAGTTGGACACAAATAAATCATGATGACGTGGTTGTGCTCAGCTCTCTTATGTGGTACAAAGAGGTACAAGAAAAAAATCCGTTCAGATTCAGCTGGAGTCTTCAGTAATGTTTGCTTCAGTCTGTGTAAAAAAAAGAAAGAAAAAGAAATATCCCAATTCTTGAAGGAGCACCGACACAGCTGTTGAATCCACAATATATACATTGAGCTATCACTCAGTCCTAACTTTGGCCGTCTGTTTCAAAGCTTGTTGGCGTGGTCTCCATCTCTTCTGATTTGACCCAGGCTTTGGGTGACCTGTTCTTCTGTGCTTTGGGTGGCAGCATGTCAGGCTGGCACGAGTCAGCGAACCTCTCACGCGCTTTCTCCCAGTTCTTCTGGGACTTCGATCTGGTCACAGACATGTCATCCACAGACATGGCGGCACCTGCCCCCAAACCTGACTGAGACTTTCTGATTTTCAGTTCAATCTGTAAAAAAAGGAAAGACAAGGCAAGAAAATTTAATCATTTTGTTGCTTCGCAGTAAATCAGAATAAAACCACCAGCAACAGAATCAGTGGATTATCTTACCGGGGCTTTCATTCCTTTTCCCTCTTTACCCAGTCCCTCTCCTTTCTTCCAGCCCATTTTTTCCAGCATCTTCCGTCCTTTATTGACTTCACTAATCTCCCTTTAGGAAAACAAGAAATAATACATGATCAGAACTTATTGCTATTATTTTCTTTCTGTAGCAATTACACTTAGTGTCTATATTTCCGTACTCATGAACAGAAGCTGGAGCATCATCTCGTTGGAAAACACCCTCGCTGCCCACAGTCTGTCGTCGAGACTCTGCTCGGTCCTTATATTTGGGGTTCTTCAGGGCTTTGGTCTCCTCGTACTCACCCGTCTGTATACAGAAAAGCACAGAGATAAATGACTGCATTACAAAAAGAAAAAAGAAAAAGGCTAAAACTTATCACAACAAGCTGCAGCCAGTTTAACACTCACTTGCAGGCCATATTTGGCCTTCATCTGCTTCAGCTCTTTCTGTCTCAGTAATTCTTTATCCTCTTTGGTGAGAGCAGGACCTTTGGGAAACAACAGTGACAACTTCAGCGTGCAATTTCCATCTCCTGTCATGTTATGTAATGACAAAATGAGATAAACGACAGCCAACGAGTAATCTCATGAGAGGATTGATTTAAAAACTTTAATTAGGATTATTTAAACATTTGCTCACAAGTTTAGGTTCACACTTGTTTCCATCAATATAAACAAGAAACGTTTTCTTTCTCTGTGGATGTGTTTTCTCTCGGATGACTCACCAGTTGTCTCCTCCCTCCTGTGCTTGCTGAGGTGAGCCATCACCTGACCGGGCTCACAGCCATCACAGGTGTCAGTCCCTGAATGGATGTGGAAGGACAGCACAGTCTCTCCCATTTTCACCTCATCACCATGCATCAGTGCATGTGGCTCGCATTTAGTTTTAGGCTGTGGAAAAAAAAATACATTCATTGACAACATCCTGGCTAAGTTGAATTTTTTTACTGTTTAATTTAATAGACGGAGATAAAATTCCAACCTGTAGGATTCGGTTGCCATTGATGACTGTTCCATTCTGGCTCCCCTGGTCCACCAGCACGTAGCTCTGCTGCTCCTGATCAAAGTAAACCTCTGCGTGGAACTGGAACCAAACACATTTAAAATTAAGAAAAGATCACATAAGCCTGCATGTCACAGAAAAATCATTTTAATCACTGGAGAGGAAGTGGGGAGGGGTACCTTGCTGACTCCCATTTCTGCTATTCGGATTGCGTGATCCATATCTTTCTCTCTGCAAACAGAAACGCAGCATGTTGTCTTGAAGGACACTAACAAAGAGATCAGCTCCTCCTGTTTGTACTGACTACTCATAGTCTCACAAGGATGTGTATTTTTCCATTCTTACATAAAGCCCTTTGAGCGCTTTGGTTCAGTACTGCAGCCACAGCCCTCACAGCTCCCACTGTGGCTGTTCATTCTTAAACAACACAAACTTAATTTTGCTTGGTAAGAAAGAACCAAATCTTTTTTTGAAACGGTAGTCATGGTGCCGCATGAGAACAGGGGATAAAAAAAGAGCACAAACCTGCCAATGGTGGCTGGAGAGTCGGCAGTGATGATGAACAGAGTTCCCACCTGCAGTACTGGAGACCTGACGACAGTCACTCTCACACAGGGAGGCCAGATGTCTTTGACTGCAACAAAAGAATAAAAAATAAGAAACTCATTGTATTGTCATGGAAACATGAGTCTCAGACAGATACAGATGACGATCTCATCAGCTTCAGTTACCAGCAGATCAAACCAATTTGTTTAATAACAAATTCTGAAGATGTGTGTCTTCCACACATGCTGAATTCAGCTTGCTATTTTCTCTCACCTTCTTGACTCTGTGTTTCCATATCTGACTCTGGACTTTCATTTGAGGGAGAGCTTGAAGATGATGAGAATGAAGAAGCAGACTCTGACTCTTCTTTTTCTGACTCTGTGATCTCACCCTCCTCTGGTTCGCTGTTCCCCTCTGACTCATCGCTCTGAGCCAGCTTCTTTTTCTTTTTGCGCTTTTCTGGCTTAGATTTCTTCCTTGACTTTTCCTTATCGTCGTGATGTGAGCCATTTTTCTGCCTTTTCCTCTTTGACGATGATTTGTCCTTCTTTTCCCGACGTTTAGAAGAATCTTTTCTTCGTGGAGCCACGTCTGGACTGCGAGAACTGCGTTTTAGTTTTCGCAGTTCTGTGTTCCTCTTAACTGTTTGCCGTTCAACCCATTCAGTTTCTTCTTCTTCTTCTTCCAGCTTAACATCATCACATTTCCGTTCCTGCCATCAGACAGTCAGCAGAGATTATAATTCCAAGTGACAGCAGGTCAGCTGACTTTGTATTGTAGATTCCAAATCTTTTGGCACAGAAATCTAATACATGGTCTCAGTCTTCAAAGACAATTGTAGAACTTCACCCAATTACTTCAGGCTTAGTAGGACAATCCTCAGTGATCCAAATGTTGCTTTGCATCCGTATTTCTACACAGCAGTGACCACATCTGCAAGTCCTTTGAGGTTTATGACACTGCACAGACCAACTAAGGAGCACTTTAAATATGTAAACTGTTGTTTGACTACACTAACAACTGTAACATGTATCCCATATAATAGAATGGAACGCTGGCAGCAAAAATTTAGTTGAACTTTATAAGTGCTTTTATTTATCATATTGTGGAGGGAAAAAAAACATTAAACTCAGATTAAAAATAACCAAAAATAGTTTATATATTTATAGTATACCTCTGTAGGGAGCAGTTTTCCAGTAAGAGGAAATCTTCATTTTAGCCATAGAGTTAGTCATCTCTTGCACCTAGGTCAAAGAAATATTTTTTTTTAGGCAACCAGCCTCAAATTAATACAAAAAGAAAAAATAAGAGTATTTGAAGACTGAGACCAACAAAGTCATGAGGACTGTAAAAGTAATCTACAGAGTCATAAGCCAGCTGGCAGCCACCAAATATAAACATTCAAAGCCACGAATCAATAAAATATCTGGTTGTCACATACCCATTCATCCTGATGTGATGTTTTCTTGACTCCTTTCTTGGACTTCTTGCTTTTCTTTTCAGCTGCATTCTTTTCTTGGCAAGGCTCTGCACTCGTCTGTGCAGCAGGAACCTCGATCCTGGAATGAAATTGGTATCGTCCGCTGTCTGCGTCGTAGTAATAGTATATGCCTGTATTGGCATCATAGTACAACTGACTGGCCTGAGGAAGAGAGAAAAAAAAAGAATAAAAGACTATTAAAAATGTGTGTTAAAACGACAAAATTGTCTCTAAAATGACTTCTGCTACAAGCTGCCCAACTTTACTGAAAAACTGTTGACAAACCGAGTCATAGTAGAAGCCCGTGCTGTGATCGTAATACATCCCAGTAGTCTCATCAAAGACAAATCCAGTCTGAGTCATAGCCTCCTCAGCAGTGGCTCTCAACATATCAGCTATGGATCCGCCATCACCCTCCTGAAACAGAAAATGTCACATTGCGGTATAAGAATGTAAATTTAAATTTATAAAATGAATTTAAACATCCATATCACCACACACTGATACAATCAGCCAATTCAACTATAAATTAAAAACCTTTACAACAAATAAATAATAACTATGGCTAATTAATGACTTTTTAATAAAACATACCTCTTTTGTTACTGTAACACTATTGTCTGTTTGACCCGACACATCTTCAGCTGCTGCTTCATCTGGTGTAGAGACCTCTGCTGTCTGGCTGCAATCTGTTGTGTCCACCGCTGCTGCTGCTGCTGCTGCTGCGTTCTGGCTTTCTTGAGTTTCTGCCACCTCTGGCTTCTGACTGTATTCTCCATAGTAGTAATTGTAATAATCTGAAAAAGTAATATTGGAAAAATGTGTAAAACTTTCTGATGAAGTGATATGATCTGCCAGCTTAATTAACGTGCACATGAAAGCAACGCACCAGTTTCTGTCCATACATATTCTTCTGTCTGAGTTTCACTGTGGACTCGGGTTTTATCTTTCTTCTTCCGCTCATGAATCTCTGCGCTTAGCTGATCGACCTGAAGCAAGACATCACAGATGAATTGAATGGCTGGTTATCATTATTAACAGACACTTGCCACCAAAACACACACACACACACACACACACACACACCACTAAAATAAGGAAATCAATGCACTTTTATTAAATAAAACTGAAAATATTACGAGAAAACAGCAACGTGGCCTTTTTAACGAGACAAGATTTGACAGGATCCAGGTACTTTACCACCTCAGCTAATCAATTTTCTGGAGGGAACACTGCAATACCTGATCATTATGTCACAGTACATAGTTTTGGGTAGAGAAAATATGTGGTACATGCGTGAGATTTCACATATTGTATCTTCTGCAATAAATTTCCATTATTCAATCATTAAACACATTTTTTCCCCACATCTGATATTACCTTAGCTCTAATCACACTGACTGTTCAATAGCTGTGATCAAACTCAACTGGTGACATGTTTAACATACAAAGTGTGGTGCATAGAAGTATTGTGGGTAATTTTCGTTAGTATTAGTACAGACTGACCTGTTTCCTCAGGTCTTCGTTGTAGCTCTCTGTGCTCCTCTGCAGCCTCTCGGAGTGGTTCAGCTGCTTCTGTAACTTGGTCAGCTCGGCTCTGCACTCTTTCAGCTCCTGCTTCAAAGACTCTACTTTCAGGCGGAGCTCGGCCACTTCAGACTTGTCGTCCTTGTCTTCGTGGCCGTCCTCGTTATCCATAAGTTAAGCTAAATAAAAAATAAAAACAGTAGCAATTATCGGTCAGCTCGTTTTAAAACTTGGACTTAACACACAGAGGCAACGTTAGAATAGCACCGTTATGGGAAGCTAGCGCATGTGGTACCTGTTCGCTACTGGACGAGTCTGTTAACACAGGCAGTAGGTAGCAGCTAGCAAAGGTACTGAAACACATTCGGCAAAGCTTTACCCCTAAGCGACGTTAAATACACGCGTGTATTAGTGAATCTCTTCTTACCTTGTTGCTTCGTTTTCGTCCCCTCGGCAGTGAATCTGCTGTCAGCGCGGCACAAGAACCGACCTGCAAGTTGAACATAGACATCTTGTAACTGCGCTGCATGTTGGACACAGCCGAGTACATGTTTTTTTTTGATGATAATTAGACAGTTACAGTTAGAACCGTGGAAATGTTTACAGTCCACCCTGTTCGAGACCGCCATTTACTACTAACGAGCTACGTCACGGCGGCGGCACTTCTTCTTCGGGGTTGGAGGACCTCGGTGCTCCCTGGCCGTCAGTTACTATGGTTACATCTGGAAGAACTCTACCGCCACCCAGCGACCAATCAGCTCACATTTATTCATACCTTTCTATTGAAGAAAAAGCAAATTTCACAGTAGTCACTCATATAAGTAGAAACTGAAAAAATAATAATAAATAAAAATTTGCTAAATTATAATTTAGTGAAATAAGACATTGCTTTTGAATTGTAGTTGAAAAGAATAATTAAAAAAAAAAAAAAAACTGTCCCGTACAAAGCACTTTGCTGATGAGCAGTGGGCCAAAATCAAAGTCTTTCAACAAGTCTGATTGATATATATATATATATTTCTGTTGAACCACAATTCAAAAGCAATGTCATGAGTTTCATTAATTTTTTACAAATGTATTATTACCTTTGTCAATTTTAACTTATTTCAGTGACAGCTGTTTTTTTCTTCTTTAATGGGAGGGTATGAATAAATTTGAGGACAACTGTATATTTTTAATTTCTTCTACAGCTTGCTTTCTTTTTACAATCACCTGAGGGTTTTTTATATATAAAATGTAAAAAAATAAAATTCTTTCAATTATCCTGTGTGCTACAATATTTAAATGATAACCCTCAATGGAAATGATCTCAACTGCTTTAAGGAATAATACACACATTATTGTTAAACTTGTAATTAATAGAATAATTAGCTTGATGTTTGATCATTGTGCATTTTCAGGCTTATTAGAGCTTGTGTTGAATGTAAGAGATAAGTTTTCACCTAGATACAGTGGAAGTGAATTCAGAAGGCCTAAATATAACATATAACTCATACATACACGACAACATCATTGACTCATGTGCAGTAGATGCAGTGGTGGATGTTATGGATGAAGTCTGTTTGCTGGCTATATGCAAATAATTACTCCTCTAAGCAATAGTGAGCCAGTTGAAAGGACCCTGTACTGTATAGAGGTGTGCTATATATTATATGCCAAGTGATATTTGGGCAATTGCTAAGGTTTTCAGGGGTTTGTTGTGCAGGTGTTATTATGCTATTTGACCACTAGATGCCAATGCAGTACACTGATTCTGATATTTGGCAGCTCAGAGTAGCAGACTACTGAAAGAAACCGTTTATGTCACATTGTTTAGTTTGACTGTATTGCAGCTTCTCCATATTTGCTGTTTGAGGGCTGACAGTAGTTTCCATCACAATGCAGAAGTGTACTAACACAGGCTAACTGTCGCACACATCATCTCTTCTCCTTTACGCCACTTGTCTTTCCTCTCTCTCCTCTGTTCCTCAATCACATAACTGTTCTTCTGGTCACACATTTTGATTCACTTCCTTATTTCTCCTCCTACTGTCAGCTCTTCTCCCCCTTCCCTTTCCACCCCATTCTTTTTACATTCACTAATTTCCGGGAACGTCTGATGCATTCAGTTAGTTTGGGACTTGCCAAGACCAAGCCACACTTATTTTAGGCTCCACAGGAAGGGCTGTTATATAATCACGTGGCTCCCCTATTGTCTCCTACTCTATTTATGGTGAGAGAGTATTTAAAGTAATATACTGCTGACACTGTGTAAACACAATTTGCACAGTTTATCTCGAAGTTCTTTCAGACACTTGTTGGTGTGTGTTAGGTCAGAAGTGACACAGAATAAAAATGTGTCATTAGTGACATTTGTCCCCAGACAGGCAGGCATCTGCGAAAATCTTCACAATAGACGAGGAGGCCAGATTGTTTTTCCTTCTAGTTTTAGTGACTTTCTGTTTTCTTAAAAGGGGTCTTTCAGGTTCCTCCCACTGTGTATGAAATCTGAGCTCTTCAGACTTGTGTTTGGATTTTGGTGGAGCTCCTTGGCAGGACTTTTGGGGTCTGTGGTGGTGGTGGCAGATCAGCCTGAACGAGGTGGTCTTTTATCTGGAGACACACACAGCTGCTTCATGCTGCCTACTGATGTTTATTGATGCCATTTTTAGACAAGAAAAGTACCAGTCCTCAAGATCTCCTCTCTGAGTTTGACTTGGAGTTGGGAAAAGGGAACCAGAAGACGGTGGTATTCAGCTCAGTGTTCTTAGCTTGTTTTTAGAAAACTGGCAACAAAGTTCAGATGTTTTTTTTTCATAGGAAAGTAATAGGAACCCTTCTTTATATAATCTGCTTATCCCTGGCTACTGTGACCCTTCTCCATTGTTGGAAAGCGCTATTTGGAATAGCATTGAATCCATGTAAGACTTTAAAGCCATTTCCACTCCCAGACATCAATTTACTGTTTAAAAAAAAAAAAAACTCCTCTGATGCTGCAAGCACACCGCTATGTATTCCTTTTAAGGTCTTTCATGTGTCTCTTTGTCAAATATAATGTAAGTGTTGATCTGTGATCATTTGACTATTTGTATAGAGTGGAAAGACACGAGTCTAAGAGTCTTTACTGACAGTTGGTGACTTTGAAATCTGTGAAACTTTATGCTTTTGCAAGCAAGCATTTTACAGGCAAAAACAGATGCCATTTCCAAAAAGAAGGCACAGATAGATAATTCCTGTCTATGATCTCCTAACTCCTACATATGCACAATTAGTGCATGCAGGGATAATCTTCATCCTCACTTCATGCAGCCGCAAGCTCCTCGAGATCCAGACAGTAAATAAGTAGGCAGGGGACAAACTCCACCCTTTCTGGTCAAATGTGGAAACTCTGAGCCTGACTGAGGCATGTGTGTCTCTGCTCCTCGATGGGAATTTGGGAGGAGTTTAGCTACAGCCAAACCCTTGAGTTTCTGGCATCGAAGTAGCAGAACACAATGCACACAGGATGCATTATAATACTGTGTGACAAAGCTCCCAACAACAAAGGCCAGCGGTTTTGTAGCAGGTGGTAGAAACGGTACAGGGAAAAGTAGATGAAATGAAAACGGCAAACACTGCTGCTGACATGGGTCATATAAGCCATTTATACAGTGATTTATTGTTCCCAAATGTACTGTATGCAACCCGCCTTTCAAATCACAGCTTGTGAGTGTTGTCCCTCTTTTTTGTTACAGTTAATATTGTGATTTTTTAGGCTTTTTGTAAATTAATTGACAGTTTTCTTTTGACTGAACCACCTGCCAGTGACCCAGTTATATTCTAACCACTATGGATCTGTGGGAGCTTTGTGTTGCTTTCAAATTTAATCCATTTTTATGTTTCTTTTATATCTAAATAAAACTGGTTTGGTTGTTGGCAGTTGGTTAACTATTTTGATAATCAAATAATTCATTCTTTAGGCAAAAAATGCAAGCAATTCTCTCGCTCAAATTAAACTGATTTCTTTAATTAAAGTTTTTCTTATCTTGTAGTAAACAGGATGTCTTTGAATTTTCAAACATGGGACTGACAAAATTGGTGGAACATTTTGTCATTCTTGTGGTTTTGTGTAACAAATCTGTGGACAAATGTGACCGTTCATCATTTTGTTGACATTTTATGGACTACGCAATAAATCAGTTCATCAAGGAAGTCATCTGCAGATTAAGCACTTTTTTTTAAGCACTTTGGGTCCATGTCTGTTGTTTTAAACATAAATAACGGGCTAATCCTTCTCTGCCGTCATATACCTGATTGTTACTTAAAATTAAATTAGGACCATTGTGATTATTCTGTTTTGGTTTGCTTTTCCATACAACATTCGTAAAATCTTGTATAGTTTCGTTGGGGAAGTTTAGTGAACGCCTTTGGCTTTTCTATTTTTTTAACTGCTGAGGTATTTCAGGCACACATCTTGAGCAATGTCCCCTCTTACCCAACTTTTTTACCAAACAAAATAAGATATATCTGTATAAAATGCTACTGTAGTTTATTTTTTATTTTTATGCAATCCATCAGTGACTGCCAGTGAAGCCCACTGTTCCCTCTCAGTTCAGTGGTCTGATCTGTTATAAATTGAATCCAGCCAGGTGACTCTCCTGGGGCCATCCAACAGAACTGGTTCCCCTGGTCATACATGCCTGCCTGCCACTGGATGGGAGAAACAGTTCACTGTTAAACAGCCCGAGGGGGGGCAAATAAGGCTGTAAGATCCAGCCCCTACATTCCTAACCTCTCTCTGGACTATAAAATGTGGAGCCCCAACAGTTGGGCTCCTCCTCTATACCTCCACCTCCCCCTTCTCTTCCTCCTCCTCCCTCAGTGTTTGTTTTGTGACTCCCTCCTTCTGCTTCAGAGTAGAGGAGCAGTCTGACAGGGACGTACCATTCGTCAACCACGGGGGAAGTCATCTAGCTGAGCAAAGAGAACCTGCGTTCAGTTTTAGAGTTTCGAGTTTCCTGCCTCCCCCCACTGCATTTACCACCGGTGGGATGTTCCGAGGTGGATGGGAGAGGGTGGAGGGGGTTCAGAGGAGGAGAGAGAGTGAGCACAGCATTTGAGAAACCAGCTGATCAGAGCTGAGGTATTCTGCCACAGAGGCAGAGGGGGAGAGAGAGAGAGAGAGAGAGTGCGTGACTGGAAAAAAGAAAAAGGGAGGCAGAGAAAGCAGCTCAAATCTGTATGATTTTAAGATCGGTGACATACAGAGAGGAGAAGAGGGAAGAGATGCCTGCTGCCTTTCATGGGAAACTGGGAACTCACATGAAGGGAGAAGCTCTGAGGAAAGATGTGAGAGCTGCTGGCAGGGTGGAAATCTGAGGAAGAGTCACACAGAAGAGGATCAGCGCTTTAAAACCAATCCTGTCAGGGCGCTGAAGAACCCAGAGGAATAAGGAGGGATGTCTTGGCTGTCACCAGTGTCATGGGCCAAATGGACGTGGACGGCGGTGAGAGGGGGAGAGGGAGAGGAGGATGAAGAGGGGCAGGAGGCCAGCGAGGAGAGGGAGCAGCGTGGAAGGAGAGAAGAGGAAGAGGAGGAGGAGGAGGAGGAGGAGAGGTCTCAAGGCTGCAGGCAAGTGTTGTGCTGGAGCCCTGAAACTACTGAAAGGCTGATTCACACTGTCTGGACTGGAGGAGGGGGCTCTTTTTTTACAACCTGTCAGGTTTAGGAATTTTTAATCTTCAGAAGGTCAGATTAAATGCACAGAGGGAAAAAAGGAGAAAAACATATCTGCAATGCATCGACATTTTGTTTTTGTAACATGCTGTGCTGTCGTGAAGCTCTGACACATTTCTGGTGTGGCTGTGGTTAAGACTGTGACAGGGCTGGGACTGAATGTTTTTCTCAGCCTCACCGACACATCCCCAGTGCTGTACAGAAATGACAAAGACTCCAACACTGCAGTCAGGTAGCTTTTAAGTTATTGTAGTGATCAGGGCCAACACACACAGACATGACACATGCTAAAGTCATCAGGCCATCATTGTCTTGTTATCTTGGCGATTGCTCAAGTAGACACAACGATTCACAACCACTTTTTTTGTGCTTCCTTCCACTCTTAAACACTAGACCAGATTGCGTCTCAGTTCTCTGGAGTATCAAGGATTTAAATGACAAAATGCATGTTTACTGTCTCGGCTCATCAGCAGCCTGTGATGTGTCTTCCTGAAGTGAGTAGATCAAGTAAAAATCACAAGTTGAAAAGCGTACTTGTGTACTGTAAATTAAGCTAAGTCGCAGCGTTCGCAACTTGACTTAAAATGAAAACATCATTTACAGCTCATACTGCATGGTTGTAACAGGAACAGGAAATAGTAGGCCTTCCTACATGTGCTTTCTCTTCCTCTAGATATCTTATACTTTATCTGTACTTCACTTTCTGTCCTTCACTGCTTCAGATAGTGTTGCCAAGAGACACACACAAAAGGGAAGAAAGTAAGGCATACTTTAGATGTATTTGGACAACAAAGACTTGAAATTCCACATCCAGCTGCTTATTGTTCATGATAATAATTAAAACCATTTACATTCACATCCAAAATATCACTGGCAGCCTTGTAATATCATGTAGGTCAGTGACACCAACACAAAGGGATTGCAAGGAAATGCAAAATGTTTTTTAAAAATTTCTTCATGTTGATGTGAAATACTTTACTTCTTCAGCCTCCAAAAAGTATTCAACCATAAGAAAAAACATTTTCTCTAAATGGTCACAGGCCACAGATTATAATGCAATGAATTTTACACTATCTGGACTCAAATAATATGATTAACTGCGCTTGTGACACACTCTGAGTAAAGAGCTGCATTTGTTCTTTTAGTGTTTTTTTTGCTCACATGTTCCAGAACAAGTCTGTTAAGGTCTGCTGCCTTGCACAGTGCTGATTCCCTCTTTTCCTTTTGTGCATCGATGGTTTTTCTGTCTCCTATTCTCGGTATATGTAATATGATCGCCACTCCTCGGTTATGTAAGGATTTTTCTGTCCTCTTTACTCATGTTTTGAATGTTTGAAAAGTTCACGCTCCTATTTTAATGTCTTCCTCTCCCTGACTCCCACAGCTCTGACTCAGAGGGTCACTTTGGTACGCCTGAAGCAGCGACTCCTGTCCGCAACCCTCCGACCATCCCGGGAGAGCTGGAGAACAACAACACTGATGCAGACAAAACAGGTGAGCAAAACACCGCCGAGCAACAGCGGACAGATGGAGAGAATTTTAAAAGAGTAGCAGCTGACGCACCGCCCAAGACGTAAACACTGTAACACCTCAGAGGAGATGAAGGTTCTCATTAACAGCAGAGCTGCCTGCACACGGACAGTATCACTCCCTGAAGTTGCCACGGAAACAGGAGTCTTTTGATGTTGCACTAAATGCTCAGAGATTACCGGTGTGTTTATATTCACAGTCAACGAAGGAAGTAAATGTGGAAACTTTTTATGTTGAAGTGTTCATTTTAAACTGCACATTTGGAGTATATATGAATCACTACGTCTGAAGCGTGTGCGCGGTGTATCAAGTTCACCGTGTCAGAGTAATTGGATACATATGCTGTCTGACAGTTTCAAGAATGTATCGGCCCACTGCGTTTCAGTTTTTTGTTCAAACTGAGCACTATGACAGCTTAGTTAAGTGTTTAGGAGTCTTATGTTTTATACAGACACACCTTAAAATACACAATGCCGTGTTTTATTACAGGAAACCCAGGTTCCCTTATACCTAAGCAGGGATTAAAACATGTCCTGGTATGTAGCCTGGTATGCACACTGAGTTTTGGGTGGCTTTTGGGCGTGATGATGGCGGAAGCACTGTCATTGTCGTTTGAATCACGAAGAGGAGGAGCCTGCAGCAGAGTGTGGGAATGGCCTTTGCTCTGGAATTCGACAGGTTCAACAAAAGCTTTGGTTTGCCATGTTTTGTGCTGGTCAGTGACCGAGGTCATGATGAGGGGAGTGACTGAACAAAGCACGTTATCAGGCTGAAACTTTCATGCTGCTCACTTTTTTTTAAAGATGTTTTTATTTTTTTATGAGTCTGTGCATTGATGTGAGGCAGTTGCTGTTTTGTTAGGAATAAATTCTTCCTGCAGAACAGCTCCAGCAACATTTTCCAAATCTGTACGTTGCACAGGTCAACCAGTTGTGGAGTGAAGAGGGAGTTAGCTTTTGGTTTTAGCTGTAAACATCCCTTTCTGCAGCTGAATCTTGGCAGACAGGAGCTGAAATGATTCCAAAAACATCTTTGAATGTGTCTATGCTCACCTAAAGTATTAAAGTAAAGTTTTAAATCAGATTTTTCAAGACTTTGGACAGTCAAAGAGACTAAAGTGACTTGAGTTATTAAATGTACAGTTCATTGTCAATACTATTCGTAGAGGGGTGGCTTTAGAAAAACCGGGAAGCAGTTCAAAATGTAAGATAATCAATAATATAATATGGATCTGTGTTTGACAGAAAACAACTATTACAGCTTTGGGAACAGTTATTACACGACTGTGACCACCGTTTTCTCTTTCTTTGTGGTTGTTGGTGAAGATATGCTGCGTTTTCTTCCAAAGGTTGCAATAAACAGTCGATTTGTTGATTACAGTCTGGTTAGTGATAGATATGTCATTGTTATCTCTTCTTTCTCTTCAAGAATTTTGAAGCTTGTTTTAATACATAATATTTTATTGCATGTATTGAATTGGTATGACTTTTTCATTTCTTTTAAAAGAAACAGCAGGTGCTCTAGTAACCATTTCCACAGCTGTATGTTCAGGAACAAGTACTTCTTACTCAGACAAAAATCGCTGAAAGCTAAATGCAAATAAATGCAAAACAGCTAATTTTATTAATCACATTAGACCGCAGGATTTGTATATTAGTGCCAACAGGCACTGCTGCTCAGTGAGATCTACCCTCACCGAGACACGTTCTTCTTCTAAACAATCGTAAGACTGAGATTATTAGAGGAATGTATTAGCATGTGGATGAGGATGTTTGTACGGGCATGTCGAAGTGAAGCAATATTTCAAAACGATGCTCTGGCGACACGGTAATGTGAATGAAGTAGGTAGAAACACAGCAGGCCGTGCTTGTCTCCTAGCAACGTAAAATGACATGAATACGACTGGTATGACACTCGCACTGAAATATGCCGTGATGTCAAAATGTTCCCTGGAGGTAATATTTACACCATAGCAGCCGCTGTCCCTGATGTCCTCAGCACACAACACAAGATAAATCAGGGCTCTCTTTATTTCCATCTTCAGATCCACTACTTGGTTTAAATGTCGTTGCCCTCATAGTGAGACATCACCATGGCAACAGCAGCAATTGGAACAGTTGACTGGCTACTAACCTGCTTTCAGAAAACCAATCAGATATCAGCTACATCTAAGAATCGATGTGATTGGAGGGATTATCACTGGCAGCAGGAATGTCTAGTAAATTTTATATTTTGCATGGTTTTATGGTTAATTCTGTTTTTTTTTTTTTCTTTTATTTTGTTTTTCAGCCTTGGAGCAGGAGGAGAACCTCATAGTGAGTGCTCCTGTAGAGGATCAGGATATTTTCCTCAGTCACAACATGGGTCAGGATGAACCTGCAGTCCCCATGGGTGGCCCGCTCGAAATAAACATCCAGACGCTTGAAGAAGAACAAACAGAGCACCTTCCTGAAGACCTGGGCTCTGTGCCTGCTCCTGATTCATCCTCTCAGAAGGAAGAGGCTAAATTTGCAGCTCCATCCTCTGAACCATCCCAAGACCCAACCCCCCTCCTTACTGCAGATCCTATCCCAGCAGATCTGGCTCCTGCTCCAGGTCCTGCTCCTGAACCAGACTCAGTCCTGAGCAGTGAACCTGCAGCCTCCTCAGCTCCAGAGTTCCCTGAGGAGAAACCTGTCGCTGAGCCAGAGGTGCAGTGCAACGGCCTCTCCAGCCAGGCAGAACCCGCTCGAAAGACTAAAACCAATAAATCCAAGCCTCCATCTCTGAAAATGAAGGCCTCGCTGAATGAGCTTGCTGAAACAAATGAGGAACAAGAACTTCCTCCTCCCCAGGCCACATACAACTTTGACCCCGACCAGCTAGACGACAGCTTCAACCCCTTCACCAGCGGTGGGTCCAAAATTCAGAACTCCCCCCCACCATGCGGCCCAGGCTCTCTCCCCAGACTGGAGCCACTTGGTAGCTCGATTCCCGTTTGTGACGACAGCTCAGCGGCAAAAGCTGACTTGGGAATGATGGAGTCAGAACCAGAGGTGAAGCCTGTGTTGCTGGAGTTTGGTCTGGATGAGGGAACAGTCAGCAAGCCTCCTCCAAGGAAACTAGGGGGAAAAAAGACAATAAGCAAACTTGCTGCAAAGAAGCAGAAGCCCAAAACATCAGAGGCTTCTAGCAAACCTGCCACAGAACCCACAGTATCAGAAACAGATTCCCAACCAGTGTTAGAGCCACTTTCTCAACCAGCACCAGAACCAGTTCCCGAGTCTATAACAGAACCTGTTGCAGAAACTTCTTTACCAGTTTCAGACTCTTCTGCACCTCTGAACCTGGACGATGTTCCCATTCCTAAGACTGGATCCTACAACTTTGATCCCAGTCAGTGGGACGACCCAAACTTCAATCCATTTGGCGGCACTAGCAAGATGAGCAGCTCCCCGGTGCTCCCCAAAGGCTCCTACAGCTTCGACCCAGACAATTTTGACGATTCTGTGGACCCTTTCAAATCTTCTAAAGCCCTGAGCATGGAGGACTCGTCCAGTAGCGCCCCTCAGCCGGAGAAAAAAGTCAAAGATGGAGGCAAACAGAAAGCAGGGCAGCCGCCTGGGGAGAAGAAAGTGAGGCAGATTCCCAAGAAAAGCAAAGAAAGGACAATCACGTAAGTCTACAGCAAAATGAAAACTTTCTTTCTTGCCCCAGGAGTTCGCAGTTTGGAGGCTGTAACAACAAATCCAGTTCATGTGTTTTATATTCTCTCATTTAAGGTTTAGATTTTCTCCAGCTAGCGTGTTCTTTCAGGGATTTAAAAGCATGATTATTTACATCTGCTAGCGGGTGGATTCATAGCGACCAATACGTTGAACACTTAACGCTGCATACTGACCATTAATGCATTCTCAGACGGGTTATATATAGGCTGTTTAAGTGCCTATAGCTGCAGTGGACTAATTTCAGCTTGTGTTTATGTTCAACCTTTAAACTATCTGCTGAGTATCTAACATGCTGAGCTGAACACCTTTAGTCACTCACTCGCTCTCCTTTGTCTCCTGCCCCCTGTCCTTTGTTCCCTTATCAAAACCTCTCCGTTCCTTGCTTTATCCCCTTCATCCTCCATCTCTCCTCCACGTTGTCTGTCATTCAACCCCCCCCCCAAAACCTCTGCTTTCGTCCACTTCTTTGGGCCTCAGGAAATCTGAACAAGTCAAGTTTCTCTGTTTTCTGTTGTAAGTACTCTCACTATCGACGCTCTTTTTTATTTCACGCATGCTCGCTTCCCATTTTACTCTCATCTTTGCATGCGCAGTGTCGGAACCGACTCTGGAAGGAGCATGTGAGGGAAATAAATGTCTTCCTCGCTTTCACCTCAGCTAACAAGGCCGTCCCCTCGTACATCAGCAGATTAATTTGTTCCATCTTGTGATCCCTCTTAGAAGTTGTGCTGCACCCGTATGGTTATACTTGTATGTTGTTGCACCTCACTGAGTATCTAGAAATGCAACAAGGCACAGAAGTGCTCACAGCTTTATGGCTGTACAAAGAGTGGATTTTGATGGATCACAACGGTCTCAATTTATAGATTCTAACTTTAGTTTTATCATCCTGTGCTTGTTTTGTAGGAATTCCTGTAAAGTACAGAAATACGATGAAAGCCAGTCCTTGGTTCTTGACGTGTGTAATCAGGTAACTGAAGGATTTGTGAGTGTGTGTGTGTGTGTCTTTGTGAGCGTTGCTGAAATGTTTCACCTTACTGCAGCGACACCGCAATGTTCATTATTCAGCAGCTGTCCAACCTCTTGGCCTCACCTCGTAACACACACACACACACACACACCTACACACACACACACGCACGCGCTCACTAACACGCACACACACAAGCTGACAGCAGCATCAGCAGCTCTCTGCAGCACTGTTTTGGCAAAGTGGCAGATTTGTTACTCTGCAGTCAAATATTAGTCAGCTGCCCCAATGTGCCCTCAACAATATCCCCTCCTTCATCCTCAGGAGATACTATAAGACTTCTTCATAATTCCTCAACTTCTTCACTGTTACCTTTCTGTCACTTCCTGCATTATGCAAAATATTAATTCAACAGTGTGCATTTGATCCCAAGAACTTTGATAAGCTTCTGAAGTAATGTACCATATCCACATTTATTCATGAAGAACATAACTTTTAATTTTTTTGTTTTGCTCAGAATAAATATCCTTTATTAAAAGGTAAATATATATATATACATACTAAGCTAAATTCCATCGCAACGTTGGTCATATCTCGCTTCTTTATGTCCAGGATGAGGATGAAGTGGTGGTTGAGACCCCACAGATCACTCAGCGAGTTCACCACGCCACAGATGAGGAGAAGCTGGCTTCCACTTGTATGATGGGTCAGACAACAGACAGCCGGGAGGAGAGAGGAGAGCCTGAATGCAATAAAGCACCAGCAAAAAAACAGCCAATCCAGGATATATCTGCGATGGACAGTAAGTTCAACAATGACGTCTGTGCAGACTTTATAGCTGAAACTGGCAACATACAAAAAGGAGACTGTTTGCAGATAAGAATTAACTGTGAGTTCTAGTTATTGTTTAGTAATGTTATTGTACTGACACAGCAGGTTGACAAAAAGTTCTCAAATTCAAGACTTGTTTGGAATGACTGATAAACAATGCTTAAATTCACCTAAAATCATCTTTAATGGAGAGGACATTGGAGATCACAGTATGTTTTTAGACAAGAAGGCAGGACCAGAGAGGTACTAGTTTTATCTTTAGGATGATTTGGTAAAAATAGAAACGATGTGATGTATTTGCATTATTTTCTACACAATTTGGGATTACTGGAGACTGCAAGGCCGCAAGAATGTGTCAGACTTTGTGAAAAAGAAAAATGGAGCATGCACACTCAGCAAAACTCTGACCTGGATAAAAGAAAAGTACAAATTTTACACTTGGGAACAAATGCAGTCGTGCCAGCGGAGCAATTATCATCTTTTCACAACAGTAACAAAGCAATCTAATGATAACTGCAGAAATATGTGAGGTTCACTTACGTTTGTAATGTAGGGCACAGGCAGGCTTCCTTGGTGATGATTAGAATCATCTACAGTTGTTATTTGTCATTAAATTATGTGTTTTATCTTGTCAAAGGTCCTGAGACCAAGATTGCAGATGACCTGGAGGAGAAGGACTGCTTCAGCCTGAAAGACGATATAGTAAGTACTGTATAGGGACCACAGGGAGGGAGCATGAATATTTTAACATGACTGCATTGTTTTGCATGAGCTGTTCTTCATCTCAGTTTGGCTGAGGATAGATCAGCAGGAACAAGCCCATCTTTTTTAATTTTCCTATACTGCAACAACATTTAGCTTGTTTTGCAGTCTCATGCCCCTCTAGCTATTTTTACTAGAAGAATCAAATACTTCTAGTTCACACAGTATTTGTGTAAGATAACCACACTTGCACCTTTGGGCTGAACAAATACTTGATTAATAAAATCAACACAGGTGTGTTTTCTCAGAGCACTTCTCGGGGTGACATCATGTAACGAGTGCAAATGTCTGAAATGAATCGGAAAAGCAGCAGGAATGCTGATCTGTGGTGCAGAATGTGTGATCTGCCAACAAAACGTGAGCATCAGAGATGTTTATGTCTCAGCATAGAATATGTTTTCTTCCACAGAGTGAGATTTCCATGAACCAAACAACAAAAATGAGCTGCAGTGAGATCCACGACACAGTGACTCTGTCCCAGGACGGCCTTCCTCTGAGTGAGATGGACAAGGCTGCAGTGCTGACGCTGATCAGAGAAGAGGTTTGTCGCTCTTATATGTGCACACACAGAAGAAAGAGTACGTAGAATGAAGCTTTAACAATACTATGGTTACTTGTTTGTATTTGTTTATCGTTTCTTGTTTTACTTTTTTCCCAACAGATTATCACAAAAGAGATTGAGGTCAACGAATGGAAGAGAAAATATGAGGAGAGTAGAGCAGAAGTTATGGAGATGAGGTATGAAATACGGTTCAAGTAATATAGTACATGATTACATGATTTAGCAAAACAAAATGAACAGTGGATGGCTTTCTGTTCTTACCTTGGCAGGAAAATAGTTGCAGAATATGAGAAAACAGTTGCACAGATGATTGGTAAGTTGCTGCCACCTGGTGGAGGTGTTTTAGTGTTTCTTGTGTTTTCTTTTTTTACATGGTTTTGCTTGTTTTAAAAGGCTCAGCCCCTCTTGTCTCCAGAATGTTATCATAAGAATTATGTGTGTTATTCATGTCTGCTCCCACAATCCTGTGACTCCCTCAGGGATGCATTCAGTTTAAGGATACATTACATAAGTACAGTTGTTCAGAAAGTTGTTCAGTGTTGTTGAAATTAAGCAATGCCTTTCAGTGTTCAGCTTTATTGTAAAAATTTCTTGTCAGGGAAAATTGCAGAATTGTTAGTGATAGACCCCAGACTTTTACCCAAGCACATAAAGTAACTGAACCAACCTTTTTATAAGTTTAAATGTAATTGTCATGTTTTTTGGGGGTTTATTTGTAGTCAGTGACCACAAAAAGCAACAAAAAAAAGATGAGTATTTGGCTTTAAAGCATCAGCAGACTCTGTCTTCCCTTGTGATGCTCCTAGTTTGACATTTTACTTGTTTTGTGGCCTTTTCCTTCACTCTGGTAAAAACACATGATTAGTTGGACTGACGTCAGGCTGCTGACTTCAGTGAGACAAGCCCTGTGTAGCCATAAAAAGGGCCACCAATAACTATAAAAACAGCCGAGTGTCTCACACTGTACTGGGACTAATCTTATAGTTGCCGGTCCATTTTAAACTCAGTGTGCTTGAAGGAGCCCTCAGAGCCAGTGCAATGAAAAAACATCCATACAAGCCTGGAAAAGTGCTGGATATGTTCTTGATAAATTGTCTTACTGCATCTTGTGATTTATGCGTCTATATCTCAAGGCTATATGTTGGCATTCTGTCACACAGCGGTCTTTTGGGTGAAATATACAGCTCTTCATTGACACTCTGACTCATTTGTTTTTCCAGAGGACGAGCAGCAGCAGAAGACTCTGACCAGCAGTAAGTCAGTCAGGCAGTTGACCTTAGAGAGGGATCAGGCCATGGCTGACCTCAACTCAGTGGAGCGCTCCTTCGCTGACCTCTTCAGGAGGTACGAGAACATGAAAGGAGTCCTGGAGGGATTTAAGAAGGTCAGTGGAGCGTCAGTATAAATCTTATCAAACGCTGTCTGGACTGCCTCACAGAAAAGCCAGATCACCAGATATGTTTTAAATGCGTCTCTGCAGAACGAGGAGGTGCTGAAGAAGTGTGCCCAAGACTACCTGATGCGCATCAAGCAGGAGGAGCAGCGATATCAAACCCTCAAAGTCCACGCTGAGGAGAAACTGGACAAGTAAGGGTCATTTTTCAGGACTGATTTTTAAACCTCACTTTTTAAGGCAATGCAAAATCCCAGTTTTTGTTAAAATGAGAAATGTAAGGGAAGGCAAGGGAGAGGAAAAGTGTTAAAAAAGGTTGTGTGGACAAGATGTTTTGGTTGTGGAGGTGGAACGTTTTAGTCTTTATTGTTCTTTTATGTAACTAAACTAAGATCTGTGTAATATTTGCAACTGAAAAGTGATGTGTGTCATTATGAGAGGTCAGATTTTTTAAAAGCTAGCAGTCTTTTTTTTTTCTTAAAGCAGAACTCATCATATTTTCTGTAATTTGATTTCAGCATCCAGTGGCTTGTTTTTGCTGCACTTCATAGTGAGAAACTGTCTCATCTGTTCAGGGTTTAAATGAATGCCTCTGCAGTAATAATAACTAAATAGTGTCCAGGTTCTAATCTATTTCATTTAAATATGTAGGATAATTGCACATATCTTCTAATTAATGTAAAAAAATCAGACGTTTACAGTGAACTTTGCAGCTTTGCATGATACATCTAACCATCGTCTCCTTCACTTCCTCTCCAACAGAGCTAACGAGGAGATCGCTCAGGTACGGTCCAAGGCCAACGCTGAGGGCGTCGCTCTGAACGCCAGCCTGAGAAAAGAGCAGATGAAGGTGGATTCATTAGAAAGAGCTGTCCTTCAAAAGGTAGGATGTCTGCAGATATGATTAAAATTGATCCTCTGTACTGAACTGTAGGAGTATCAGGCAGGTTGAAAAATCTACTCAGGATAATTGAGGTTGAAACCCTTTCTCAGGTGGGCAGACTTTTTTTGTAGTCTAAAAAAAAAAAGCACTGAAGGGAATTATTACTGGAAAGAAACACCACTTCTGTTTTTTTATTTAAGACCACAGTGCTGTTATTTAAGGTTAAGATGTTCAATCACGTCCTGCAAAACCTGTTGTTTTCCAAGTGTCTTTGTTTTGTTTGGATTTGTCTTAATAGTGAAAGGGATGCATGTGTTCTCATGTCAGTTTTTTAGTTTTTACACCAAGAAGAACAGCACAACATTTTTTTTTTCTTTTCCTGTTTTGCTATTAAGTATTTAAGATTTAATTGCACTGTTTATTTACAGTGATGTAATGATTTCAAAAGCACTTTATTTACGTTCGTGGTTCCCAACAAGCCTGTCAGACTGAGTCAAAAACCTCTCATTAACACCTCTCGTTTTCATTACAACTCATTTTAGATTGGGACTTATTTAACATTTTATATACAAAAGCAGATATCGTTAATGTGTTTTTTATTCACTTGATGTATCCACATCAATCGTTTCAACTGTTTATTCACACTTTTATGTAACAGTTTCAACTCTCAGTCATACTTTAAGACAGCTATTTCAAATATTTAATCACTTTTTTATTATTATTATTATTATTTACTTTTGTCAGTCTATTCTTACTGTTTATCTACTACTTTGTGTTAACTTTTTTTTTTTTTTGCTCAAACCTGTTCAGGTTGACTCAATTCTGTGATTAAAATGGTAAATGTAGTTTTATCAGATGAGCTGAGCTCATCTTTTCACGTACTCCCTGCCTACTGCAGAGGTGCCACCTGAACAACTTGCTGCTCTGGTTGGAAATCAATGGTTTGCAATGTTTCACAGCCTTTTTTTTTTACTTTGAGACTTTCAGTTTATGCAGGCTTGAACAGATACAAGCAGTCTGAATGCTCATCTTCCAGCACACTAGGATGTAGCTTAACAGTAGAGGGCAGCGTTTCATTGAGTAAAACCAGATTCTGTTTGAAATGAATAAAAAACTATGGGTCCAATCCCATTCTCTACCATAAACCCTGAACACTAAACCTTCACAGAGTAACCAATATCACCTCGGACCTGATTGAGTACACATTTTTTTACAATTGTATGTTTTATACTCGTTTCATTTTGGACTTTCTTTTACTTTTTTAACGGCCAAGGCTGTAAGGAAAGTATACGTGTAATTCATCATCATGCCATCAAGGACAAACAGCGACACCCAGTTCAGACTCTAAATCACCAGCGAGCTTTGTGTTTGTACCTACGTGTAAACTTCATTTTTCTTGCTTGTTTATTTACCGGTTTTTATTTTAATTTCCAGGCTTCTCCTGTTTAATGTCACAACGCTATGAACTAATTGCTTGAGGCAAAGACTGCAGAAATGGCTTTGTGTACTTAGCTGGAATACATCTCGAAGTCAGTCCATGCGTGTGGACGTTGGAATTGGGCCACAGACACTCATTAATAACCCCAGAAACTTTGAAGAAAACAATAGATGGTATCTTCACATACTTGTGTTTCTGCACAGACATGTCAGCCTCACGTCTCTTCTTCTCTCCGTCTCTCACAGAATCAGGAGATCGAGGAGCTCACCAAGATCTGCGACGAACTGATCGCCAAACTGGGAACAGAATAAGAGGCCTTTAATCAAACTCTGTGGCACTTGACTAAACTTTAACACATGTGCTCTCTGTGGCTCGAGCCCTGGACTTTTCTCACAGCAGCACGCGATGCGAATTCCATACATGATCGTACTTCTGCACATCAGAGCATATGTTTTAAAAATATATATATATATTAATGACATACAGCATGGTTGCACTTGCTCATTTTTGCCTTTTTAGACTGAAATTTCAGACCAGAACAATAATTGTTCATTATATTAATCATGTCACGGCAACTGAAGAAGCACAAAGTTAATAGGAGGTATATTTTCATCATTCTGAGGAAGATTTCTCAATCTTTGGTGACGGATTCACAGTAAAGGATCCTCTTATGTTTTAACGATTCATTCAACTTTAAATGTCTCACAAAGAATTTCTGTCACCATTTTATGCTGCATGTGTGCAGGATCTAAGGGAAAGATGGTGTGGGCAGACAGCACAGGCCTTTTCACCACGTCACATTTACACTGTAATTAACTGTACTAATGATACAGTCTGCAGAAAACACAAATCTCTCTATTGAGTGCCTACACTGGTCACAGTGTATTCTGGCCTTTACATAATCGTTTGCTGGCATTTCTTTTGCAATACAGACGGTTTAGATCACATTTCTTCAACTGCCTTTCAGTTTGTCTTATACGTTTTGTCATCATTTATGCAGAGTTTGAAGTTAAACCACAGAGTTTTAACGTAAAGTAAATCACACCACTATAAATTTAGAGGATTTATGAAGAGCACTTAAGAGAACCATACTTTCCATTCAGTTAAATAACCGCTTCTTCATTTAATTAATACTTTGACATCAATGGGAGACGCAGTGCAAACTTGACTCTCATTATTCTGTAATAATAAACCATGTGCCATGTCTCACTTTCTATCACTCTGCGTTTGAGTGTGAAAAAGTTACCAGTTGCCATGTAAATGTATTTGGACTGTATTCATATTTTATCTGTGAACCCAAATGTTGCTGGTGTGCCTTTATTTGGTCTATTTTGTAAAAAAAAAAGAAAAAAAAAGAAAAAAGATTTTTTTTCCTCCATGCAGTTGTTTCCTGCACTCTGTTGCCAAAGTGTACCGTACACCGTCTGTTTCACGTATGATCAAAGTATTCTGAAGAGCAGTGAGCTATAATGGGTTTGCAGTTTTAATGCTTTACCTGCGGTGATCGATCAATAAGGTCCACGTTTTAGGGAGCAGAGGGTCATCACGTAATTATATCTCCTTTTGCTGATAAATGTTTTCTGGTCTGATTGAACTTGAAGGAGCACACAAGTGCATTTTTGGACAGATATGTATAAAAGACAGACTTTTGTATGGAAACCTTCTTTTACTTCAGCACAATCAATTGCCAAATGAGTAAAGTGAAAAGGGTTTTCGGTGTGACTCCGTGTCCTGTTGTTGATGTGTTTTATCAGTTGGAACGTGCTTTTCAATGCAAATCCATTGTTATAGTACAACATGTGTACATTTTATACTTTATGAAAAGAACATTCAGAATTTTGTCGCAAATATTTGTATAATTGAAGAATTACGTATACTCAGATTGTATGTTAACTGTTATATTTTGTGCATTCCTGAATAAATGGTTAAGATTTAATCTGCTGCTTTCCTCTTTTGCTAAAATTATTTAAGCTGTACACGCAAGCAAACCAGAAAAAAAAAAAAAAACATGTCTGCGGTGAACTGCCCTCATCGTGGTGTAGAACTCACACACTTGGTCATTGTTCAAAACTACAGAGAAGCCAAGATTCAACACTGTTTTCTTGCAGCTGATGTACTGTTATTTTTTACAAGCATATAAACATCTGCAGAGTTTTATTTGAGTCAAGATGCTGCAGTTTCTAGTAGCAGTCGGACTTAAATATGAGAATGATGCAATCACAATTGTATCAACAAAACAGTTTATCTGAGGTCAGGTGAGACAACGGCCAAAATATGTTTCAATTCATATATTGTAGATTTAAAAGATTAAAGCTGGGGTGCTTTAATCGCCTCTGTGTCCAGTTTGCTTCACTGATGCCTTGTTCTGTTGCGACTTGAATAAAAAGACAAACGTTCTCTTTCTCCTCTTGGCAGAGCAGGTCTGTACATCACATTTTAGAGCTAAATGTGACAGAAGACTTGAAAAACAACTTGGTTCTTAATATTTTTAGCTGAATTCTTCTGTCAGTGGTTAACTGTCTACTATAACTTTAGCAAGAGAGCAAACTTGCCATTGATGTTTCCTACCTACTGTTAAATTGCAGCTAAATTATGTGAATTCAGATAAAAACAAGTGGTTGTCTTCATCAAATCCCAACTTTCCCCCTAAAACACATCAATGGTAGCTGGACTAGTTTGAAACGCGTCAAATGCAGCTTCACTGTGCCACTACATGTACTAAATATACATGTTACACATTTCCACATCCATCCATCCATTATCTATACACCGCTTAATCCTCACTGGGGTCACAGGGGGCTGGAGTCTATCCCAGCTGACTTTGGGCGAAGGTAGGGGACACCCTGGACAGGTCACCAGTCTATCACAGGATTACACTTAGAGACAGACAACCAAGCACACTCACATTCACACCTACAGACAATTTAGAATCACCAATTAACCTCAACATGTTTTTGGACTGTGTGGGAGGAAGCTGGAGAACCTGGAGAGAACCCACGCTGCACGGGGAGAACATACAAACTCCACGTAGAAAGATCCCGGGTGTCCTCACCAGGATGCAAACCAGTGACCTTCTTGCTGCGAAGCAACAGTACTGACCACTGCTCCACCTTGCTGCCCCTGTTTCCACATAGGAAACAATAAAAAATCATTCGTCACTCAGGCTAATGTGTGAAAATTTAGATATTTTTTGTAAGTAGTTCAGTTCTTTATTTTTCTGTAACAGACAGCAGAGACAGAGGAAAGGAAAAGAAGGCCTCAGAGTTTGTGTAACCTGCTGCTGCTTCTGCTTTATTGTTGGTTAATTGCAAAGAAAGCCTGTTACATGCGCCTGATGTTTATTTTTTTCATTACATGTATGAAATAGGTATATTTGTCCTAAAATTTTCAGACTAAATGTTTACTTAAGCATAGACATGGTCAGCCTTTGTTTCACTGTCTCTCCACATGGTGGTGTCTGTCCTTAAACATCACAGCACGAGGCTGCCCTCACAGACTGGTGGTGAAGGCGCTTTCCACATAATCCAACCAAAAACCACAATGTTTCAGCCAAGAACCTGTGTCACGTGCCATTCTCCACTCTTCTTAACCAATTCTCCTACCTCAACATAGACACGGTCGTCTTAAATAAAGGCAAAAAGTACAAAAAGTCATTGTAAAAAACAAAAGACAAAAACACTGACAATATCAAAAAGGTAATGATTCTTCCTCAGTTTTAGCCTCCCCTCAATTACGTTTAAAAGGGGGATAAATCATTAGGAACGCTTTGGAATGTATTGCAGTCCATTACACCATCACATATGACCTCAATAATAAACATAAAGTGTCACCTTTTTGACAGCGCCATCAAAACTGAAAATGTAGTGACTTTGAACTTAGAAGATGGGCTACTCAGGCTGAGTTTAAAAACTTCTGGGATGTGGGGTCAGTTTAAGATGCTATAGGCACCAAAAATAGACCAGATAGTGCCTAAATTGGTTTTAAAAAAAAATTTAAAAAAAGAAGTTTTCTACTTAATATTACATCAGACAAAAATGGATGCATTCCCTGATACAAACTCTAGCCTTGAGATTCCACAGATCCAGGTCTAAGTTCTTTTATAGGTGCTTTAACAGCAATTTGATTTCTAGAAACTATATGAAGGGATGGACAGGATCCCCTAAACAAACAATCGGTTTCCAAGCCAACTTGCAAAACAGGAGCAATATAGAATCTGAGGGTCTTTTTGGTGTGTTTTTGTAACCCTGGTGACTGTGCTGGAGGGGGTGGGTCCAGGATGCTGAGGTGGCCTCTGATTGGCTGCTGGCTGTGGTGAGGAGTGGGCCGGGAGCCGCTGCCAGCTGTGAGGGGAGCCGAGGAAGCAGGCAGCGGAGTACTAAAGGGACAAAGAGCCTCTGCTGCACAGCTCATCCCAGTCTGCAACAAGGTTGGAAACCTCACAGTCTTGGAGAGGATCCTGTTGTGTGTCTGTCAAAGTAAGTCCTTTCACTTTTTAAAGCTCCTGTGGGTGGACTGGATGTTTTCTCACACTTGCAGAAACTTTGAGATGTCAGAGTTGCATCTGTAAACTGTCAGATATGCTACATGAGGGCTCTTTGTACAACTTAAAACACAACAGGAGATTTTTTTTTTCTTTTTTCTTTTGCAGCTTTAATGATTTTATAGTTTTCCTCTAATTTGATTTTCCATCCAATATTTGTTTCCATTTGAGAAAAGACACCAGTGCTGTTTCTGTGGTGCTGAGAGTGGACAAATGTGCTGTAGGAGCTGCAGACCTTCTAAACATCTTTCCTTTGTTCACTCACAGTGACCATTTGGAGCTGTGTTGATCACTTGATGGTTGATTTATGCTTTTCCCAAATGAACAGCAGGCAATACAAGAGCTCTGGCGTAGACGGAGATAGCAATAAACTAACTATATGGGACTTTCCATTTGACTTGACAGTTCTTGGCTACTTCTCATTGACAAGCAGCTTTCAATTACTGACTGGCGTTCTTGCTCCTATGTGGTTACATGTTGAAAGTTGTCTTTACAACCACCTAATTCTGTTCTCTCCATTTACATCATTGCTGCTGTTGATTGTATCACAAGTTTTTAACTGTTAACTTTGCATATTCTTATAAGAATTGATGTATGTAGTGTTATCTAGAATGTGTAAAATTTAAGAGAAGAGTTCTTTATGTTTTAAAGTTTCCATCAAAGTCATGTTTGTTCACTAACAGCTGTTTAGAAGTGCACCCTGAACTCAAACTCATGTAAAACCATCACTGTGTGTTTTTTTCTTTCACCCTCTGGCTCGGTTTCACTGCTTTGACAAGAGACACGCTGAAGAATAAAAAGCCAAATTAAAGTATTTCCGGCCTCCCGCTGAACTTGCTCCTTTCATGGAGAGATAAACCAGATGTTTCCCTCTAACGATCACAAGTGACGTCTCGTACAGCCTGACGATTTATTGAGCGTGTACTTGGGGCCTGTTTTTTTAAAGCCTGTGCAGTTTGTTTGGCTGTTACTATGACGTCAACTCGGAAAGCAGCCCCCCACCACCACCACCTACCACCCCCAGATGTGGAGGTCTCCTCACTTTCAATGTCTGTCTTCCCTCCCTTTCGCTCCAGAAACATTCCTACCCTCGGGGCTTTTGGTCCTACCATTGACACTTTGATGGTCTGCGATGAAATATCGAGGTGGAGTCGACTTCCCCTTCTTGAACCTCAGTTACGCAGCCTCCAGGAACAGATCAGGAGATAAACGAGAGAGGTGGCACGTCCCTGCAGGAGCCCACATTTGCTCTCCATTAGGCAGTCAGACAGAAGGAGAAATCCCTGTCTCTTAACCTTCAGTCTGATCCAAACTTTTTTCCAAATTTTCCTTGTCTCACTCTTATTGGCAGTCAAATGCATTTCTTGTTTTCTCAATATACTGTAAAACTGCGGTGAACTCTGTTACTGTACTTGCGGTTGCATAGGGGCCAGTGAAGAGCCTTTGGGAGCCTGATATGACGGCCAAACCAAGCTGTTACTGCACTGGATTTTATACTGACACTGCTCACTCTCTCAAATTATGGGAAAAATGACCACACACCACAAATTGCCTGTCTGCCTCTGCTGGTCTTCAGATAACATTCGGCCCTCAGTTTAACCCTTTGGAATTTGAAAAATACACTTTTAAGCACAAGTTTGTTAAAACAAAAACTTCACTGCAGTGTTATACAGCTAATGCTAACAGTCTTTTGTCTTTTTTATCTCCATTTAGATCATCTTTTCCTCCCTCATCCTGAGTCATGTTGAGTCCAGTATCCGTCCACGGTCTCTTGACCACATTGCTGTGTATGTGGGTGCTGTGTAAGGCCCAGTCAGACTCTGGCAAACCTGTAATCCAGCTACGTCTAGCGGGGGAGAAGCGGAAACACTATGAGGGCCGGGTGGAAGTTTTCTACAATGGAGAGTGGGGGACGGTGTGCGATGATGACTTCTCCATCCAGGCTGCCCAAGTGGTGTGCAGAGAGCTGGGCTTCATGGATGCCGAATCCTGGTCGCCCTCGGCCAAGTATGGAAGAGGAGAAGGTATGAAAAACATCACAAAATTTACGAGGAGAGTCAGTATTATCTAATCAAACCCCTTCAAGGTTCAGCTCAGAATCATGTTGTTCAGCTGTTGGGAGCTGGTGTGTAGGTTATGGGGTGTTAATGTGAGCAGTCTGCCCAACTGTTCACCTTCAAAGGCTGCATATCTCCGCATATACTTTCATATGTTCCATGGAAATCCTTGAATGAGGTACAGGTTTCCCCCCGTCTGGCTACTAATACACCCAGGCACTGGTTTCCCCATTAGACGACAACTGAGACACACCAATCAGTTGAGAGCATAAAAGTAGGGGGAAAGACTGGAAACACTGGGTGTGTAAACCAGACATAATCTCATCTCCTTTCTTCTGT